TGCAACCTTAGGCAAAAAAATAAATACAATTATTTTCGGACCATTGTAAATGGATCGGAGGTTGCAATTGGTTTGGTTGTCCAAATACATTTCATGTTGGTGTTAAAATCTTCTGAAATAGATAACGTGGGTTAGTAAAAGTCCATAGATTTTTGTATCAGTGGCTGTACTATCTAAAAATCAGTAGAACAAGGGCTAACCTAACGTAGATGTTTATTTAAACTGACAAAGAAGAAGAAGAAAAGAAAAGAAAGACAACCAGAATCATAGTGTTTTGGGGTTGGAATTTGCCCCATGAATAGGGATCAGTGAAAGGAATTGTTATGACCTTTTTGGGCTTCCAACTAAGATTCCCTGGTTAAATGCCCCCAACATGGCGACTATCAGAGCTCCAAAAAAGGTGCCAGCTGGTTCAGCTAGTAAAGTCTGTGGATGTAGCTCCCACTTCCCACTGGTCTGAGAGACAGACTGATTCCTGTCTCCACCCTTCCCCACCTCACTCTCAACTCAAAGCTTGGTACCAGAAAAAAGGGTTTCACTTTGGGTGGGCTCGGGTTGAGCATTTGTTAAAGTTTTAAGGACTGGCCTGATGCAGTGCAAGTTCTTCAACTGGGGTACCCTGATTTGCACCCTTAAAGCAATAAGAAAGATTTGGGGCCCAAAAGATCCCTCTAACCATGTTCTCTCCGACCCATCATCTATGGGATAAATTCAGACTAAAACCTATATTTGGTGAAAAATCCGGGGAACCCACATTGGCCATCAGTCATTATTTTGAAATACAGTTTCTAGCCGCTTTGAATGGATGATGTATATGTTTGGCATCGATGTTGCATATATGGCAAGAAAACGGTGCTGTATATGTGTAGGTTGGAAGTACCATTTTCTGAAGCAATAGTGTCTTTTTTTTGTTTGTAAACATTGCTGTCAGGTAAAATGTTTCCTGGGGCAACAACACATTCTGTTTGGTACTAATGCTCCATATCTGTTTTCAGCACCGGTACCCATTATAGGAAGTCTACGTCACTGTCACATCATGTATTCATTGGCAGCAATAAGCTCCAAATTGAGAAAATGCCGAATTTGGCATTTCCCCATACCGCGCCTTCTCGATTTCCAAAACGTGGTTTAGAGCACCATTTTTTATGAAAAAACGGTTCCGAACATTCTACTGTTTTCTGGAGCACCGATTTTTTCAACGTGGTGTTGATATATCACCGTTTATTGGAGCAACGTGTGTACTTGTTGAGTGGCACGTGCATTTAGACAAATGCATGTGTAAAAGGTCACTATATGAATGAAGAGAGAAAGGAGTCAGGATCTGCTTCTCACACAACGCTCCTCAAGCCAACATCACAGTATGTCCTGACATTGACAACATGTTCAATACTTATATTTATTATTCATAGGGAAATATTCTCAATTCAGAGTAAGATATAGTTATGAGATCGGTGTGAGGCGCGCTTATTGAGGAGCAGATCCCAATTCGAGAGGAAGGTGTTATTGGATTAGGCCAAAACTGGGCATGCAAAAGTGTGACATCGACGTGAAAATTTCTTTTCCTTGCGTGTTATATATAATAATATAAATATTAAATATAACAAATATAGGAAAAGTTGGTAAACGACTGTATCTTCAGCTGATCCTTTGATGTATTGCGTTTGTTATTTTATTTGACTGAAACATTTTTATTAATATTTTTTTATGAATTGAACCAAAGTACAATCTCTTCTATTAAAATTTGATTGAATGCTCATTTGCTTTGATGTCTGAGACATGGGAGACATGTCAACTACTTAAGCAAGAGTGGCATATCTATGGACAATCTTATAAATTACCCTACCAAATAGCACCCTTGACAACTTCTAACCACTTTCTCTATTTGATACAATAAAATACATTTATATGCACATGGTCTAAGCCATTATCATCAAAGCCTTGTCTTAACTATATGGGGTCGTTTACATGAATCCTCTTTTGAATTTATATCTATTTTTAAGTTATAGGCATTTAAATCATTTCTTATCACTTCTGCTTTAAATCTTTTTTTTTGTTTGTTTTTTTCGTCTATTAATCCATGATTTTTTGACCCCTTCAACTTGTAACAGATCATATAAATTCGCTAACTGTCAATCTTAATCCCGGGTCGAATGCTTATTTCTTTTTTGACAAGTATTGAACCTATTGGCATCTATTTGTTTATTTATTTATTTATTTTACTAAAGTTGAGGCCCAATATTTAATGGGCCTCACTTTCGGAATCAATAAAGTACAGAAGTTTTTGGCCACTCAATTCCAATTCAATCCATTTGGAATAAAAGAAGGTTCATATATACATGTTTTAGAAAAGATCAAAACAAAAGTGTCCTTTTGGCAGGGACCCATTTTCTAATGAGTCCAGATCAATTGTATGTCTGGATTCTGGGCTTCAAAACAACTGTTTTTTGTTCAAGTTCTTGTACTTACAGCTGCTAATACCTGTACCTTGTCCCTCAAGCTGAATGAGTTGGTACTCTTGTGTGATTGGTTAATCCCAACCAGGAGTTCTAATCTCACCAAAAGCTTTACAGAACTTTCTGAAGCTACAATTTTGTTTGAGGCAAACCCAATTGAAATTACAATAACGACATGATATGGTTATATATTTATTTAAAACTAAATTAAATTAAGGGAATTAACTAACACTATAAATAACAAATACCCCATAAAAATTTTGATAAAATATCCAAAATTTTCAAAAAGAAAAAAGCATTTCATTTAACTTAAAATAAAATGCTGAAATTTCAAATTGATCCAAGTCAGATTGTGTAAATAAGGTTTAATAATCAATTAATCATGTGCCTAGTCCTCACATAGTCACATGTGAGGATAGAAATGTCAGCTTAGAAACAAAAAATATTGTGGCTGCATTTGTTTCAACATAATTAAGAGGGCATTCTACAACGTTTTTCTTGTTGCCAGTTTCAAAAACAACTCAAAACTATCTTGTTTGAAAACAGATTGTTTTTTCAAAATAAAAACGCAAAAAGCATGTTATTAATTTCTGCATTATAAAATTTGTTTTTTGTTTTGAAAACCATTATTTTGCTGATGTATAGTGATATATGGTTTGAAAACTAATTTCTAAAACAAAATTAGACTTCAGGAACATGTTTTTGCTTTTTTTGTTGATATGGTTATTTCAAAAATAAATGAAAACAAAAACATTCATTTTGTAGAACTCCCCCTAAGTGGCACTTATTTTTGTTTTCAAAAATAAAACCAACCATGCTGTCGAACAGCACCTCTTAAATTGACAGAAAAATTTTTCAGGATAAAATATTTATTTGAATTTTGAATTATATTTTCATCTCTTCTATGATGAAAATAAATAAATAAAAGGGACTAAAACAAAAATTTTTGCTATAAAATGGGTGGAAATAATAACTGAAATAATTAAAAGTTACACCAATTTTACAAAGAAATAAACTGACCCTATGGATCAAACTACCCCAAAAGAAGAATGGTTTCTTTGATTGTAAAGTATTCCTTAAAATGAAGAATTGAGAAGGTGAAAATAACTGAGAAGTACCCAAGTGTCGTATAGGCAGAACTCCATTTCCAGTAGTGGTCGGATCAGATCTAGAGCACTCTGATGGCAAATAGAGATTTGCCAGATCTGAATATGATGAGTGTGGCACCTAGGTATAAGCCTTGGGTGAATTCAGTTCAGGTCAAAAATCTATCAAAACTTGTTCTACATTTAAATGTTGTGTGGTTCAATTTGTGGCAGATTCGACGTTTATAAGGGTTAGGTTTTCCACCTTTGGAGTTTGGAGTCACCAGGCTTCTTTCTGTTCTTGTAACTGTTGCATTTGTGAGGCTGTGTTTCCTTGCCTTGAGACTGAAAAGACTCAGTGCTTTAGTATGTTCCAATTGTATTTCATGATTATTGAGCAATACTTGGACTTCATTAAATGAGTGATCATCAGATTGAATCAAGATAGATGTAACTAATTCAAATCGGGTCCAAGCATGGCTCAGAGTGCACTTATGAACAACAGTGATCACTGAAAAAATACAAAGACTGTCTGAGCAGATTGTTCGTGGAGGCTGGAGCTAGCTTTCCATTCAGCCTTGCAGCAATACTCCCCCCCCCCCCCNCCCCCCCTCCCCTGCATGATGGCCTAAGTTTGTCCATACCGTTGGAAATTGAAGCTATTTTAGTGCCTAAACATTTTTCATATTTAATACCCCATGACATTTCTTGGACAATGTTAAACTTATGACAGTCAGTTCAGAATGGAAGGATCATAACTGGCAATGAGTCAGATTGCATTGGCTTCCTACAGTTTTGGATTTAAATTAGCTAATTGCCTAACTATGGTTTGTTTTCTTGATAATAATAATAAAGTTTCTGTTGCTAAATTTGGTCTTCTCCTTCTTGCATTGATACAAGGCTTAGAAGCTACATTTTGGAGTAAAAACAGTTGGTACTGAGCTGGAAACCATACCTTATAAAAGATTATCAAGGACGTGGTGCAAACTGCAAAGGTGAAAACCATACATCAGCACTTTGAACCACGCCTTTTACTTTTTTTTGTTTTTTTTTTCTCAAATTTCAGTTTTAAGACTGCACGCGCGCGTGCGTATATATACACAGAAGTTTCAGGGGCATATCATACTGATAATTTGAACCTTGATCAAGGATAATATTGATAGGAGGTTTTAGCTCTAACAACTCTTGGTTTTCTTACCTGATTATTTTATAAGAAATACATTTCAAACAGGAAAGGTGAAAACCATTAGAGCATTAAGTGTTTCCCTGACTTTTTATCTTCAAAGCGTGTATAATAAAAAACAGGTGACTTGTCCTGTTTCTGTAAAACAGGATCAGAAAACAGATAAATCACATCGTTCCTTAATTCAATATGTTAACCTGACAATGCCAAACCTTGAGAAGTTAGAAGCTTAGAGCATATGTAAAGCAAGAATTTAGAAAAGCTCAAAAGCCACATGGTAAGCTGGTGAATGCTTTTCATTAATCAGAAATAACAGGTCATCGTTCAACTGACAGCATGATAAATGCATACATGAAATCTTGGCATTCAGAAGTAACAGTTGATGTATAAGCAAAATTTAAGTGGAAGAACAATTCAAGAACTGCAGTCTAAAGACTTGCCCCTTTTTCTTTTCTGTGTCTTTCAGCATCCTAAATGAAAATAACATACAATCTCTCCTTCCCACTTCTGCATTCACTAGGACTGATCTATTGGATATCTCAGAGCCGCATCAACTATACATAGAGAAGATATGGACGTTTTATGCCATCAAGGGCACCATTAAAATCAGGGAACAAAAACCTTTTGTGTTCAGAGATTGAACTACAGAAGGGATAGCTATTTCTTATTACATTGTGCAACAGAGCTTTGAATCTATGGATGTCAAGCATATACAGAAAGCCTGGTAACCAGTTAGTGGATATCTGCACAGAACAAAAAGACTACTTAGATTTCAATTTCCTCCTTTAAGAACATATGCACAGATTCACCTGTCACATTAACTATATTTGTATTATTTCCCATAACATGGACACAAAGATATGGAAAGGTTATTGCACACTTGTACCTGTAATCCAACACATACTTCGATTTCCCTACTCTTCCAAGCTGCAAAATTGACTGTTTTCCATTCTCCTGATTCATTTAACACAAATTAGACTCCAGAATCATCTGTATCATAATTGCACATAGACATACACATTTACATGATATTGAAAGTAATTCATCCAAGGTCTATTAATATGCTTCATTCTTTCTATTTTAGAGGTATTCTTGGGTTCTGAAATTTTATGTTACCTCCATTGTCAGCTGGAAATTTTTTACTGAGCTTTGGATTTTAAGTCCGGTTCTTCCCCTCTCTCTGAAGTCTAATTCATATCTCTTTGAAATCTGAAGAAGCATCACAAACCAAATAAAGGAGCAAGAGAAATCAGTCAAAAAATAGTTAAGGTATTTCCATCATAATATTTTTCAGATGTTTTCATGCTCACTTACACTGTTGTAATGTGGAACTCTTGAGAAGAGTTGATGGACTTTATTTAATTTCCCCTGCCAGTCCTTGTGAAGTCCGCTAATATGTTGAATCTACAAAATAGATATATATTATTGCATAAACCTTTTAACAACTACGTGGAAATTGGGCACATACTCTGAGTAGATCTAAAACATATTAATCAAATATTTCATATAGCATAGTAGACACCATGGACACATGAATGTCATACATGAATGGAAGGAAGCACCCATAATTTGATACATCTGAAATGAGAAGTTTCCAATGAAGGTGTTTGGCATTGTCAGTTTATCCTCCACTACATTTAATTTGATGTTTCTGAAATGAGAAGTTCCCAAAGAACGTGTTTGGCATTGTCAGTTTATNTTGTCAGTTTATCCTCCACTACATTTAATTTGATGTTTCTGAAATGAGAAGTTCCCAAAGAATGTGTTTGGCATTGTCAGTTTATCCTCCACTACTTTTAATTTAATACATCTGAAATGAAGTTTCCAAAGAGGGTGTTTGGCATTGTCAGTTTATACTCCACTACACTTAATTGATAAGCCGCATCAGAATTTTAGCATAATTGGGCAAAAATTGGGTCTGTTCATACCTGCTTATGCATAAAAGCCAACAAAACATTAGATTGGGAAGGCATATGATGTGCACATTGAAAAAATGAAAAGAAAACCACTTTTCTGACTCCTGAGTTGTCTCACCAAACACCTTTAACACTTTAAATGCCTAGTCAGCCTATATCTTTACCAAACAAATGTTAAAGGATCTGGCATGTATTGCACTGTTGGTTATACTTAAAAGCAACCACAGATAAATTCCACAATGCCAAACATCTAGAATTAGTCTCATTTTTCTACTTCTCTATGCTCATACCTGAGAAGTGTTCTTTAATTGCATGGACTGGTGCTTGGGTATCCATGCTCTCATGCTTCTGTAACTTCCTGTTAAGGTGGTTACTGTAGGCGTATATCTGTCAAAACCAGAGCAAGTACTAATAAGTAAAGCTTCCATTGAAAAAATTCTTTTATGTTTTTGTAGTAAAGGAGCACAGACAGAAAAATGAAAGAAAGAAGAAAAAATTGAGATTGGCTTACGCTACTACTGCAAGCAATAACTTAGACTGTTTCTGCAGTGAATCAACCGGCTTACCCTGCAATCAAATGGGTAATCTTGAAATTTAGAGACAGGCCATCTCTCCTTAGTTTTTCAGGTTAAAAGAAAGAACATTTGCAATGACATAGATGAACTTTATTCTACACTCAACGCACACGAGGAACAGGAAGTAAAATGAACCTGGCCTAATATTTGATATTTTGATCCCATGAGGTTAGCTGTAACAGTCCCTAAGAAAGTCTCATCTGATCTACACAATATCCCCTTTGTATTCTGAGCTATTGTGAATTCAGACCGTCCATTTCGCCGTCGATGGTGAGCCACAGCTAGTTTTCGATCCTGTCTTCCGCGACCCTCCTGTTTTCCAAGTTTTAAAGAGAAACAGCCTAGTAGTGTGAGCTTCTAGAGTCAAATTGGGTTCTACAGAAAATTTCCTTAGTTAAAAAGGAATTATATTTAAAGCCAGAATTGCAGAAAAAAAATTGAGGTCGCAGAGATCTCACATTGGTATAGAGTGAATAGAGAGTTCCCCCATCCAATCCCTCTACTGAGGCTTCCTTCACTATAACACAAGTGCACCTCCCTACGTCCAAAGGCAAAGGCCTACACAACAAAGACCTGAAAGTGCCACCACAACCGCATTAATCACAAGCCTAATTTCCATTCAACAGAAAAAATAAGAACTAATAACGTACAGAGCAAATCCATAAGAGGGTATCTAACCTATTAGGCAGAGTAGACCAAGAAGAAGCAGGTGCAGCTTCCGAATCTGAATAGTCCCACATGTTTGACGAGTTGGATTTATCAGACTCTAATGGGTCCCAGATCTTCAACCCAAATGTCGTATCAGGCTCGTTCAATTGCATGCATAGCTGAAGGGAAGATGGCCTCAAGATCCTGTTCTTGGGTCCCAATGAAGGAGGAGTTCTCCCATCAAGCAACTGTTTACCCTTATTAAGAAAACCCCCCTTCTCCGTTGCTGAATTCTCTTTGCCGTTGGAGACATTGGGCACAACATTCTCCTTGTTGGGTGTGGCATTTTCCTTGTCATGTGAGGGGCTATCCAGATTCTGGTTTATCTTATGGCAGAGCACCCCACCATTGCTGCGGTCCCCTTCACTACTGCTCCGGGTGTGCTTGATTTCATTGAGGGGATTGACATAGAGCGAATTGTATGAAGATTGGCGGGGAAATGAAGATTTCTTAAAACCAGTCATGGCAGAGCAAGAGAAGTTTGGGCTGAGAGAGGTTCTGAAGGGGTTGTTAATTGTTATGGACCGGAGACGAAAGCTACTGGAAGGGCTGGATTCTTGCCTTCTTGGGATGTTGTTAGATTTTGGTTTCTGCTGGGGTCAATGGCAAAGATTGTCTGAAGTTCTATAACTGCATTAGAAGATATCACACAGATTCAGATTTCAGAGAGAGAGAGAGAGAGAGAGAGAGAGAGAGATTGGAATTCAAATTTGAATGGCATAGGGAAGTGTGAGTTTTAGTTATTGAAAGTGGGGCCAACGTTAAGTAAAGGGAATTGTCGTGTTGTGGTTTGTCGTTGAACTTTTCAAATTATTGAGGATTGACCCCTGTGATTCTGTGAACTGTGAAGGAGGTGGGAGGGATCTCTCAGGCGGGAAGGGAGTTTGAATAGTTATTGATGGGAGTCTACGCGCGTGTCACGAGGATCAGTATGGTACTTGAGAGTTGTCAGTTGCGAGGCAACAGCTATAGCAGCATTAACAGTTCTGTGGAGTGGGCTGTCCGTCCGTCCGTCCATGGAGTACAGGACAATGGATTTTAGAAACTCGAGAGACGAGAGCTACCACCCTACCCTTGTTTTTGTCGGTGGGTGGTGATTATACGAGAGCGCTCTCATTATGGCAACCAAGAACGCGCTAGCAGACTTAGGCAGGGATCTGCTGTAAACAAAACGCTCCCAACACCCACTAGGTCTAATGTCCTAATAATGATTAATACTGAAACCCTTTGCTCGAGAATAATCTTTTAGCACATTTTTGCCTCTAAAGTTTTGAAAACACTTTAGATTAGACTACAAGGATAAATATGCCATTGAAAACATTGAGCACATAGCTCAGAATGGGACCCTAGGGGCTTTCAAAATGTTAAAATACCTGATCAGACAAGTCTGATCGCATGATACGTCTCATTAACATGATTAGTTGATGCCCATAGAGCCTTTACTCAAATGGGACTTGCACAAAATATATAGGCACTTGAGATTGAGATTGGTAGTTCATTTTGTTTTCCATCCGTAGGCTTGTTCTTGGATTGTGATTTTATCAGGCTTGAGAATATTATCTCCCTCTTAGCTTGTCTTTTATTGCTACTAATAATTGTTGCCCAGAAGTTCTTATGGAAATTCATGCTTGAGAGCTTGCTGATCCTGTTTTTTCCCATTGACACATTTCAAGTGGCTTTCACGGGAGACCAACAATGAACTTGGCTAAATGAGTTTACTTTCTAAGCATTCAATATAAAGTCATTTTTCTGCTATTCCTACAACATTTTATCATATTTATGATCTAGAGGACTGAGCCTGTGTGAATTTGATTTGATTTGATTTGTGCCAATTACCATTCTTGAATATATCCTTGTTGGATTTTGATCTCATAAGAGATTAAATCCAATGGGTTTGATTGGTAAATTACATGAGAAATTGTATCTCCACACTTGATTGAAAAATCAGTTTTTTCTCTTACAAAAAACCCAGTTTTGAACTTGTCCCACATTGGAAAATTATAAGTTTTGTTTTTAGTATTTCAATAGGAATTGATTTACACTCCTTAGAATTAGTAGAGGAGAGTATGGGGATTCGATACCACGCAATGCACGCGCACCCGTGTGTGCGGTGCAATGAGGCGCACTTTGCTTGCACCCGCATGGCTCGTGATGAGCGGCTCTGGTTTTGGTGCGTTGATGACCGTTGATCACCGTTGATGAGATCAACGGTCACGATTCGATCGGGTGTGATCAAGAGGCACAATTCAAAGTTAACAGTCACCAACTGCTAACTACCTTTTAAACAGTCACAATGTTTGAAATTGTGACTGTTCAAGGTGCCTTCTCTAAATTTTCTTCATACCTCTTCACAAATTATTTAAGGAACATGAATCAGACTCCAAAACACACAATTTCGAAATTCACTCTCTCTCTCTCTCAGTCCGGTCTGCTACAGTCTCACAGAAAGTTTCTCTGGAGACTCTTCAACTTTGCTGGTTGCAGATTCTCGCCCAAGGCTTTGTTGTATCTTGGGAACGAATTTGCCTGTAACCTAATAGCAAACTCAGTGAAACTGAGTGGAGGCAAATAACGTTCTAAAGATAGTGTCTTCAGACGTGCCTCAGAGCTTATCTTCCAAAGTTACAGTGACCCCATCTTCTCCAACAATCCTTGTGTGAAAGAGACAATGAGATTGCACCTTCTTGCACCATTCCTCCTTTTCGCTCAGTGATGAAATACACCATTCAAGGTGTCTCTCAAATCTTTTTTAACATATGGGTAATTGGACATCACCTTGTGGTTGGAATGATCCATTGTCCTTTAAACCAGAATGATTTCTTCAGTGGGATTTGGAATTTTCACATTGGTGTTGGAATGATTTCTTTGTGATATTTTATGTTTCCAAGTGAATTTTATGATAGAAGACATAAACATATCTTTGTAGTTGCTTCTTAGTCAATCCAAGGAGTTGCGTTTTCACGATCAAAACATATCTGCTGGTTACATGAAGGGAGCCACCAGTTATTTACTGTGTTCTCTATTGTGCTTAATCATCAACTTTAGTAAAATTTATGCCATTGTTATTGTTTGGATTGCCTCCTCTTTATGCATTCATTTTCATTTTTGATGAAAAAAAAATTTCCATACATGACCCACTAAATGATTGATCCTGGTTTTTGAAATGGGGAACTTGGTTAGTAATGGATGTTGGAGTCCAAACCCCACATCCAGGGCCTTACCTTATACTAGTGTGTCATTCTCTTGTAATGTATTTCAGCAGATATGTTTTCCTAAGGAGTTGGAAAAGAGCCTTTTGGTTCCTCCACTTAGTTCCATTGGTGTATGTAGTTGCATCACAAACCACAGGTTTCTTGGCATTAAATCTATATGGAAACCATGAACTTCTGCCATGGTTCACAAGTTTCTAGTTTTAGTAGAATTATTTTAACCTGAAGTTTTTTAAATCTATATGAAAACCACAGGTTTATATAGTGTTTATGTTATTGAGGCACAAGATGAGAAAATGAGAAGAGGAAGAAAGTTTGAAGACTACAGTGTATGCACACATGTAGACTAATCAAAATAAATTCTTTCTTTTTTTTTTTCTTATAAGACTAAAGTTCCCAAGGTTATCAAGAAAAAAAAAAACAAGTTATTTTGTATTTAAATTTTAATTTAGATGAATAAAGTTACAAGTTTCTTTGATAATTGAGATTTGTAACCAATTAAAATTAAATTATAGGTTATTTGTAACAAATTTTAGGTTATTTTGGCAAGTATAGAAAATAGAGATTTAGTGGCAATCGCAATTGATGACTACCATTATATTAGTGACGATATTAATAAATTCGTCACTATATAGTTATCTATAGTGACAGACATGTTCGTCTCTATTACATATTTTGGTAACGGGTACAAATATTTGTCACTAAAACATATAGCAATAGTGACAACCGTATGCCACTATATAAATTTTAGTGATAAACACAAAATGGTCATCACAAAAGCAGAATATAATAGTGACGAATATATCTATTACTATATAATATTTTAGTGACAAATACAAAATGTTTGTCACTAAAGTAAAACATAATGGTGACATATAAAACCGTCACTATAGGTTATAAATTAGTGATGGATTTTTAAATTCATCACCATATGTTAGTGGTGCCGCCTATAGTGATAAACATAATTTCATTGATTGTTTGTCACTACGGGCTTTTTAGTGACAAATTTCTTATCTATAATGACGTTTTCATTTGTCACTAAAAACTGATTTTCTTGTAGTGCCACTTTCTAGTGTTCCAGCCTTTTAACAACAATTACGGCCTCAATCATTACCTTGAGTTCTCCTTATTGGCTATTTGCCACAACACATTTATCTGTTGTAGCATATAAGATACTATCATTTGGAGCATGCAACACAAAATCAAAGGTAGCCTTACCCCTTGTTTCTATGTAAGAGCCATCTGTGTAAATTTTGAGATGCCTTGATGTGCTCCAGAGGTCATGCTTTTGTTGTTCATTCTAAATCTGCAAAAGTCAAGTTGAGGTCTCCTTCTGGATTAAACCTATTGATATGATTGAGTTTATGAAATTAAATCTTTTGGGAGAGACCTTGTTCTCTAGAAATTTCAAAAAAAAAAGAAAAGAAAAGAAAAGAAAAATGTATTTGCTACAAGGACAACTTTAGCATTGCAAAGGAGGGGGGCTATTAAATGAAATCAAATTCTTGTACCAAGACAGCAGAGAATCTGCCAACTAATGGGACCGACCCAATACACAACCAATATTAAGAATGAACAAATACACGCAGATATTCACTTGGACATCTGAAGATGCCTGTTTGATCCTTACAAATAATTTTCTGTACAAATTCTTTTGCGAGCATCTCTGCTGTCAAATGACACTCCTGGTTCATTCACTTTCATAGTCTTCATCGTCTCCGAAAGAAAAGACAGAAGCATCAGCTGCAATAGCCTTGAAATCATTGGAGGTTGTTGAGTCCTTTGGAATGTCAACGCTCAAGCCAGACCTACTGTCACTATCAGTGTTCGATTCATTTGCAGATGGTTGCTGTGTGGGTCCTTCGCTTCTTAATGAAAACTTTTCAGTCCCATGAGTTAAAGCTGCTACTTGTTCTTGAGTGGTGCCGGTCTGGGGACCTCCGGCAGTGGTACTAGCAGGTCCTACTCCAGAAACTTCTTGAGCTTCCCTATTCTTCGAAGATCCACTTTCTTCTCCTTCACTGTCTGAAAATACATCATCTTTATCTGGACTTCCAGAGTCTTTATTTGCGCTGGGAGTTGCTGCACCTCCATCACTTGGGACAGGACCTGTCCCTGGGCTTGCATCAGATTTCCTGCTTGCACTTTCAGTTCTTGGCTTTGTAGGAATTGTGCCATTGTAGTCTATTATCACAACCTCAACCTGGAACCCAGGCGAAGGCAATTTCCTCTGCATGGTACAGATCCCGTGAATAGCCAAATGACATACAGAAACAACCAGAAAACAAGGGAGGAGAAAGGGAGAGAACTTGTATCAGAAAAACCACTCCCCAAATATCTTTCCCGCCTTAAAATATATCTACTGCTGTTTACCTTGTCAAACCCATCAAGGTCAGAAGTGTTCAAGATTTTCCGGTTTTCTGTCATTGTTGTATTCAACCAACTGGAAGCAAGAAACAGGAAAAATAGAGACGTTAGTTACAATTTGAGAGAGAAAATCAAGACTTGCAACTCCAAAGAATAAGGTGAAAATTTAAGACTAATGATAATAAGATACTGCACAATCCTTCAAAGTTATTAACATTAAAGTCTCCACAGTTGAAGAAAAAGAATATTAAAATTAGAGATTTACCAGAAAAAAAGGTAAAAAAAAATGCTTATATGCTTTATCTATTTACTTTTCCCAATCTTTACCAGGATTACAGTCTTTTTTTTTGGGGGGGGGGTTAACTAGGATTACAGGTTAAACTATAGGAGACTCTTTTAAGTTGGACAGTATGCCACAGATTATTAAGAAGATTGTTGGAAAAGGACAAAATACCAAAAAGATGAATACTCAATAAATTAATCAGGATACTATGGGGGGAGAATAGCGTATCCAGTCTAACTCTCTTTATATTACATTATGTCTCTTTATTCCTGTAAAAAGCCATTGCCCAATTTTCTTCCTAGCTATGTGGGGTGTTGGGAGAGATGGACTGCGTAAAGACCAAACCTTTGGCCTTTTTTGCTTTTTTTCCTTTTTTTTCTTTTTGCAAGAAGTGGCTTCTTGCAGATTCCACTCTTATTCTCATGCTTGTCATCTTGAGGTTTAACCATTATACCAGCCAATGGCCCCTTCTGTACTCTATATTTGATAAAAGTTTCAGGAAATATGGATATAGATGAATGCTAACGTGCTTACAATTCACATACCAATAGAAATCTCCTTGGCGGTCATGAAAATGAATTTTGAAGTCCCCAGACACTTCAGTCAGACCAGTCTCCCCTGGTAGAGCAAAGACTATGATCCCTTTCTTTGGTGCATTAAACCAAAAATCTTCTGGCTGAAAAAGAACAAATACATGGAAATAAGTACGAGGACCATACAGGTTTCAACTACTAGTCAACAGTATTATATTAAAGTCCAAGGATGTTAAGGTAACGTCCATAATTTGACAATGATCCAAAGGAGAAAATGAAATTTCAGGTAAAAGCCTACCATCAGATCCTTAGTTCTTGGGTGCTTTTTGGTAGAGAATAGAACTCCTGTGCATAAAGAGAAATATCATTGTCGAATCTCAAAACACATGTGCATACATAAACATAAAACAATAACCAATTTATGCTATAGTATATTCTTTGCTATACAGGTTTTTCAACTATACAATGAAAATATTCAGTGTATCCACCAAAAATGACAATTTTTTTGAGGAATTAAAAATGGCATAAATTCTGCCATATAGATTTTACAATAAAGGGAAATCAAAAAGCAGGCATTAAATAGTTAAGTTACATCCAACATATATTTGACACAAATAGAAGTCATAATAAAAGATATGCCACCAAGACTCAATTTGCAATAATCAATGAGAAAAACACATTTCAAACAAAAACTTTTTTCCAGACATCATCTAAAGTTCTCCTGCCATAAATAAATAAATAATTAAATGACACCATCAGGCTTCACAATTTCCAATAGTTCATGAACCACAGGAACAAAATGACTTCAGCATCAAACAAGGACTGAAAGCCACAATCTCAAACTAAGATGGTTAATTGGTGAATAAACAATATCTCTATTGGCATCTTCCTATTTCTAAAGCCACAATACAAGATAAATGCAGTTTTTTTTTTCGTCCAAGTAGTTTGAAATGAAAACTGATGTGAGACAATGCTGATTCAGTGTAGCTTCTCAAGTAATGACTCATGGTTTCCGTTCCATTGGCATCGATGAACCAAAACTAATTCACAATGAGTTCTATTCCACCAAAAGTTACGAGGATGATTGCACTCCATCCCACCAGCATCAACAAAATATCTTTCCCATTTCCCACCATCACAGTTGCATCCAATCAAGAAAGACAAGAAAGCCCAATATTCCTGTTTCTTTGAAGGTTTGGACAAGTGTGTGTACTAGTAGTATATCTTGGGGGACCATTTATTTTTGCCAAGGCCACAAAGCTCATTATTCCTGTTTTCGATTTTTCTTAATAACGTTTTTACCATTATGTTCAAAAAATGACCAAAAATCCCATGTACAGCCTGGTATCTTCCAATATTCTGAAAGCCAATTCATGTTTTGAGTAAAGAGGTGATCAAGTAGTGTGGTATCTTCCATCAAAGTTCAATTTCACCCTACAAGGTAGAGGTGGGGATCACCTTTCTTGAACAAAGGGAGATGAGGAAGAGGAAGTCGTTACGGCACTCCGACCTCTAAAAATGTCATCTAAAGAAAAGTTCTTGAAAAGATTCAAATATTTCAGCCAATGTATGATCTTGATGGTTATGCCTTCAGTAAAGACTTTTCATGGGACATTGATAAGAAATTTAAGACAAAGGGACAATGTATACAGGCTTTAGGGCAACCCCATCCCTCCAAGGGCTGAACTTTTGTTTGGTTAGTGGATATGGATAGTATTTTAACATTAGATCACTTGAAAATAAGAGATAAAAGGGGATTTCATTTGCCAAATACATGAGTAATGTACAAGAGGAAAGAGGAAAACCTTATCCTCTTATTCAGCAAATGCACTTTTTAGAATTAATGTAGGAGTTCTACATAGCATTTAAGCAAAGAGTAGTTCCTTCACATCTGGAGAAAAATATTAGGAAACAAAAAGCTGAAAATTTTAGTATTATCCCTTTTGTTGTATGTTGGGGGCATGGAAGAAAGGAATAGAAAATCTTTGAAGACAGATATACAACAAGAAAAAAATTTGGTAGTTGATGCATATATAATGGTGGCTGTAAATACATAGAGTTAGCCATCGAAGTATGTTAAAACCTACTGGGGGCATGGACTTTTAGACAGCAAATGAGGGAGATTTATTGTTTAGCAAGGGAAACGGGAGTAATCATTATTTGGACAAGGAGGTCAGCCAACAGTGTGGCTGATACTTTGGCAAAACAAGGAACTTAAAGGGAAAATCATTTTTGGGATGTAATGTAACTTTTGGGAGAAAATATGGGGTCAACACTCATGCTGTGAGGATTGGCATTGTATTCCTTTACTAATTCAATGAAATTTACCATTTCCAATAAAAAGAAAGTATGTTAAAGCCTAAAAAAGGATAGAAAAACATAGGCAACAGCACTGTGTGTAACCATTAGAATAAAGACAACAATAAAAGAAGACAACATTATACCATTATGATCAGAGACAGTAATTGAGGGCCTAATCCAGTAAGGACACTTGTGAAGTCGAAATCCCCTAAGCATGCACCTGCAGAAAACATAGTCGATTATCGTGTGAAGATTGAACACCACGCAGTTTCAGAGATGATTAATACCTACGCCCAGGCTGGTTTTCCCCATTGAAGTATGTTAAGATGCGCTCAAAATACTTGACATATCTCTGTTAACAGAGGAAATTATTTATCAGATAGATGTGGAAGGCATCCTTTGATTGAAATATGTATTATCATATAGCAGAATTTGACTTACAATCTGGCTTGGAAGCACTAGCCCCTTCCCATCCACACATCTTTTTTTGTTGTAATAGTCAATGGACTCCTCAGCAGTTGGGAAGAACTAGTAGAAAGGCAGATATGGTAACACTACTGTCAGACCAATAAAAATTAAAAAGCAACATGGCCAATAAAAGTAACATAATTCCCCTGATGCCAGATAATAGGAGCAATGGAACATAACACACCTTCAGAAATAGAAGAAGGCTAGAAATCATTAGCCCAGTCCTGGCCATGCCAGCTTTACAGTGAACAACGACCACATTCTCAATGTCTTCCTTCAACCATGAGTATGCACTTTGGCAAAATGATACGATGAGTTGAATGGGGGGGCAATTATGATCATCAAATGGAAAGCATGCAACCTGGAAATACGAAAGACTTCAAAAATAGGAAAAGACTGATGTGATTTTTTTTTGTAATAGACTGATCAGCACAAGAAAGCAACCCCAGAAAGATATAATCTTTTTCAATTATTAACAGCACTACAAAATGATAAAAGATAGTCATATTTAATTCTTTAGCACATAATATGAGTTTCTATCTCCAAGAAGCTATAACTGTTGTTTTATGTATCTATCTGAAGGTGCCATCTGGCTCACTTGGTCAGTTCGCTGCTCTCTAGTCTGTAGCATAGATGGGATCAAATCCCACATTCACCAGGTTGGGGGCTTATGGGTTTGGAGGAAGGGCTACCCCGACTTTGTAGCCCCATCACCATCCAAGTCTTGTCCCCTGTTTTTTTTTTTTTTTTGATAAATAATATCACATTTCATTAAAATCAATAGGAAAATACAGACCCTTGGGAAGGTGCGAGATGCCTCCTCTCCAACACAGGAAACCCAAACAACAGAAACTATAAAAACTATAACAAGGAGTACACGAGTGCTACTACAAGATTACAGTTTATCCCAGAACTGTGTTTCCCTATTTGTCCCTTGTTTTGCCAAAATATCAGCAAGGGTGTTCGCTGATCTTCCCACCCTGTAACAGCCTTATCCCCTGTTGTGTAGCCCTATGCACCAAAAAAAAAAAAAAGCATCTATCCAAGTATCAGAAAGTCTGTTAGTTGTTCTGTCTGTTTATCTAGAGCACCTTTCCATATTTCAAGTAAAGAAAAACCACTTTTAAGATAAAAACAGAAACAGATGTCTCACATTCTATTATTCTTTAAGACTCATATAGCATATGCTAGCCATGCTAAATCCTCTAATTTTTAAATGATTTTCTGTCAATATACCATCCATTGCCACTATCCAAGCAAAAGCCTCCACCCTTGAGGGATAGGGTTACCCTAAATATCCTTAATAGAGGAAGATGCTATCTGGTTTCTTGTGATTGCAGAAAAAAAAGTCTCTCTCTCTGATATTGAAACCCTAACTTCTCTATATTGCTCAACAGCATGATACACTATCCAATAATAGTCTCCTAAACTTCAGGCACCACACCAACTGATTTCCTCTCAATTTGTAGCATTGATGAATCTGTATATTGTGGGTTAAGCCTATATAACCTTGGATAGAGGTCACAAAACCTCCCACTTCACTCTACTGCACCATTCCCCAAAAACTTCTAAGATTCTTGAAGGTCTTGATGGAACAACATAATTTCTTTCCAGACACATACCCCATATGCGGAAGACACCTCCCACCGATCAAAAATGATAAAAAGACACTTCCCTAGGTTCCCACTCAATCTAACCACCCCATATTTACCAACAAAATCACCCCTTCTCCAGTGTGTGTCCCTCTCTTTCTCTACACCAAACCTTTTAAAAGGTCTTACCCTCCTTAACCCAATCCTATAAACTCCTTTGGTCTACAAACCTCAATCCAATTCACCTAATAAAATTTATTCCCTCTCCCATCTCCCATCTCCACCCCAAAGGAAATCTTTTTGAAGTTTCTCCATCCTATGCACCACATCAGCTGGAATTTTCAAGAGGAAAAAAACTTGACAGCACACTCATAATTAGTGTATTTCAGGGTGGAGGTTGGGGAGAGATGGGGTTATAAACCAAGGGGTTGGACTGTTACAAATACATATACCAAAGTCTTAAGGACAGCAAATGCTGATCTGTTTTCAGTGGGGTGCTAGGCACATTTCCATTGTAAATATAAAATTTTCCACTTAAAGGAATACATTTTCAAGTTACCAATAAGAAAACAAGTATAGAAAACGTAGGATCGATTAACAATAGGAGAGATAACAGAAAAGAAAAAGTAGGAACAAGGAGGAAAATTTGAGCCAATCAACTGCTATACAAGAAGTAGAAAACCCTATGTTTCAATAAAATAGATACTATTTATGGGTTTCCTGGTTGTCGAGTTTTTTTTTTCAATATAAAGAAAAAAGGAAGATTTTTTTTATTAGAAAAGTGCAAAAAGAAAGATGAAGCTTATGATATTTTCTCCATGCAGTGGGTATCCACTAAAGTTTTACCTGTACACTATAACAAGAATCAGGAGAGCAAATAAAGAGAAGAGGCACATACCTTCCCCTCAAATAGTGATGCATCATACAACCTCTCTGAACAAAGATTGTATACTTTGTATTTTCCCTATGAAGAAAAGGTTGGTTGGCAAGAAAAGAACAAAATCTAGTAAGTAAATTAACAGATAAGTAATTCTCATATGATACAAGTAAATAGATTATCATTACCTTGTGATGAGTTTCAAAGAACTTGATCACTTCTTCCATGTGGTTTCGGTAGAATCCCTGCATTAACATTTCTCACCTAGCCTCATAAAGGTCATGTGAAACTCAACCAACTAAACTTCAAGTGGAAAACATTAACTGTTTACCTCAACATATCCAAAAAATCCAGAACTCATGTCCCCAGCAGGAAACCCCATTGCAATAATATTCTCTGTGATATAAGTCATATCCAAATCGAATCCTCCTTCCTGAAACCAGGTATAGAAGTTTTGCTTATATCATAACATCAAACAATGAGAAAATCCAGGACAGTAATATCTTGAGCAGGGACAGCAGAAACTAAGAAGAGTTTGAGCACTCGGAACCATGTTTTGCAATATCAGTGAGATACAGAAAATCTCCCAATTCTCTCAATATATGACATTTAGTAAAGATGTAAGACTGAATGGGGAAGGTGGAGAAAATAATGATGTTTTAATGTTTGGATGAAGAGTGGAACTAAGTCGGCATGAAATAGGGTCAAAACTGATCTTGAAATGTAGGGTCTAATTAGGTATGAACCAGGTTTTTTTTTTTTTTTTGATAAGTAGGTATGAAATAGGTTTAAAAAAAGTGGAGTTTCAAGTTTGTAACTATATTCTGAAATTTCTACAGGGGAAACCATAAAAATTTAGCAAACTAGGATTAGGATTTGAATACTGACAAAGGATATTAGCACTTCCTAATAGTGTAAAAAAGACATTCTACACAACATAGTAAGGTAAAAGCATATATTTATGAGTAAAAGTTTTCCATCCTGTTAAACTGGAGTATTACCAAATACCAATTAAACTTGAAGTTATAGTCAAGAAACAAAAGATCCAGTTACCCTTATTCTTCATCTCCATTAAACAGATCTTCTCTGGCACAAAAAAAAAAAAAAAAAAAACTATCGTTGTGTCTGTGCATACAAGATTTACAAAATGATGCACCTAAATGCTTAAACAGAGCTTGACAGAGAAATTGTAGAACGTATTATACTTTGCATGCATTACAATTGCTGGGCTTAATTACTAGAAACTCCTAGACTAGACATGTGCCTCAAGATGTATATAGAAAGTGCAGATAAATTGAAATTTGGTCTTACATCAGAAGTTTGTCCTAGTAGATAATAAATCAGAAAAACTAGCATCAGCTACTGTAATGGGAATATTTAAACACTCGATAAATATGCAAAAGAAATATAAGAAAGCAATTTATTGTTTGCCACAGTCAATCCAAGTATTAACAAATATAAATTCACTGGTCATACTTATACATCAAATTCCAATAGAGTATGAAGAAAACCAAATTAAAAAAAAAAAAAAAAAAAAAAAAAAAAAAAGAAAAGACACCTCCACCAATCATAAAGAAAAATTAAGCAGTAGGCTACCTGGTATCTTCGTTTGTTTTGAGACACAATGTGTCGAGCCTTGACCTGCACAGCCTTAACTGCACTCCTTGACGAATCAACCAACCCCTTCGTCAATGATTCAAGAACACCAGTCTGAGGAGCCGTGGAAACACCCTCAGCATTCTCATCTGCCACAGGAGCTTTCGGGGATAACCGCAGTCCCAGTCCACTGGTAAAACGCGCAAGCGTTGCCTTGGCGGAACTTGAAGTATGCGACTCCTCTTGCCCCGAAACCGAGGTCTTTGGAATTCTAAGACTGAAACTTCTGGCCCATGAAGATATGGCAGAAGCAGATAGTAAGGGCGGCGTATCACGGGCAGAGTTATCTTGTGCAGAAGCTACAGGTGGCTGCACATCAGGAGCCTTAGCAGGAGGTGCAGACGATGAATCAACAGTTTCCTTGTCCATTTCTACCCAATAAACCCCAGTCACCTCAACACGAATCACAGCTTAACCTTCAAATGCCAACCATATACAATCAAAACTATATCGATTTCCAAATAAGGGCTGCAAAATCTAACAGAGCACACTGAGACTAAATTAATACAGAAAAAAAAACTTAATTTTCATATTTTCTGATCTGATCCTAAATCCTAACAGATTTGAGTATAAATTAACATCGAAATGAAAACAGTGTTCATCTTTACAGATCTTCCTAACAAATCTCAAACATAACCAGAAGCAACAAATAGAGAGATAGGCGAAGGCACAGAGAGAGAGAGAGAGAGGTGAGATACCGGGTTTCAGCCACGTCGTTTCAGAGCAGAAAGAGAGAGGGAGGGAGGGAAGAGAAAGACGTAGACCATTTCGCAGGCGAAGTGAGATCGGTTTTTGGACTTGGGAACTTCTTGGGTCTGGGCCCAGAACTCGACACGTGGCACGATCAGAACCGACTAAAACGGTCCCATCAACAAAAACAGTCTGGTTAGAAGAGTTTTGGCCATCTGATCCTTGCAAAATATCAAAAACATATCTATTCAGCGAGGAATGCTAGCACCACGGTTAGCTTCTAGACGTAGCGCAAACACTTGAAACACGCAAGTCGTGTGGGCCCTGCATTGGGTATTTTGGATAAAACAAATGTTAGCATCACGGACTCACCGTGCGTGCACATACAATGGAAAAGACTATCTTACCCTTCATTCTCCTTCAAATTTTCAGAACGGTAACATTTGAATTTGCAAAAAAAAAAAAAAAAACTCATAATCCAACAGCTCAACACTGACCATACCCATTTCAAAGACTTATATGTGGAATATCCCAGGAGAGCCAAAGCAGTAATCGTTTGAGAGATTGACATTGCCTGAATCAAAATTGAAGCCTATAGAGCCCTTTTTTCAGGAGAAGTCAAGCAATGCTCACATGTTAATGAAAAGTCAGATTGAATGGAGAGAGAGAGAGAGATCAAATGGCTGTCAGCACCGAAGTTCCATTATGTTATCCCACAGTTGTTGTTGGTCCAGTTTCCAATCTTCAACTGTGTCAACTGTCAAGTGTTGTGGCATGTTTGTTCAATTATCAAGAAAAACTAAGGTGATCATGGTTTATTGAATTGGCATTGAAATTTCAGTTTGATTGGCCAAATTTAGTGATTTTTTAGGAAATCCACCAAAAATCGATTCTTGAAATCTGTCCTTCTCAGAGATCATCATTTTGGGTGATTTTCTTATTTCTATTTGATTCCAATTTTTTTGAGGATGACATGGCATCCAACATGGCATTGAATAATAATAACTCCAATACAAAAATAATCAGCACTTTTGAAAATCAATATCAAAGAAACTCAAAATCGGCTTACATGGCAAAGGGAACACTTTCTAATAGTGTTCTCTCTTCCTCTACTACGACCTCCCCCTGAGTCATAACTTCCACCACTTCCACCACCACGACCAAACATGAGACTACCACGGCCTCCTCGAAATGCATGTCCTCCCCCTTTATTATCACGTCCACATCCTTTTGCTACGACAAACATTGATCTGTCAGATGTTGTGGTATTCTCTATGGGTCTCAATGAAATCCTATGAAATCAAGCAAATACCTTTTCAAGTGTAGAAAGAGAATAACCTCCCAATATTTGTGCTCTAACCGGTTCATATTTTGATTTTAACCCCACTAAGAACCTATTTACATCCAATTGTTCCCTTTGTTGTTGCTGAATTTTAACATCTGGAATTAGGGGATGGTAAACGTTGAGTTCATTTCTAAGGTTCCTCATACTGGCATAATACTCTTCTAAAGTTTGATTTCCTTGCTATAAATTGAAATACTCTTGATAGAGCTGATATACTTTCTTAATATTATCCTATCTAGAATAAAGTTTCTTAGCATGTTCCCATATTTCATTGGTTGTATCTAAGAACATAAAGTTGACACTTATCTTAGGTTCCATATTGTTCTACAATCATGCCATGATTTGGGCATCTTCTTGTTTCCAATCATCAAGCCCTGGGGATTCAACTGATGGTTTATCCTCCTTTACATGTTTCACCTTCTTCTTAGCCTTGAGAAAAACCTTTACTGACTTGGCTCATGGTACATAATTTTCAACATTATGTTTAATTGATGTCATTTGCACACCTAGATAGTTTGAGGAAATCATCACACCAGATTTCTGATCACCACCACCATCTCCAGTTGCTACCATTGTGTTCCCCAATACAATTTCTAATTCTGAATTATCAACCACCAAAAAAATATTATTGTTAAGTCAACATTGCAGCAGTCTCCACATCACCTTCAATAATCTCTCAACCAGGCACAATGAAAGAAAGAAAAACTTGATGTAAACCACCATTTACACACGTTCGCCCATCTCTTTCAGCAAAAAAATTGTTTTCTTCACACCACTACTGATAACCAACCACCATAGATGTTACTCAACAATCACCAAGAACCCTCTTGAAACTACTCAGTAGAGGGCCTGGAACACCACCACACGACCATTAGGGCTGTCACTCATGGTGACAATAATATTAGAACTACTAACCTAGGGTTGTCGTACCTTCCTAACACTTGTAATGAAGATTGTGGCAATCCTGGATTACCAAAAAAATTTGTCGCAGCCTTCTACTTGTGCACTTCAGATTGTAGCATAGAAAAAAGAAGAAAAGAAGAAAAGGAAAGATCGCAGGTCCAGGATCTTGAAATTGCAACCTTCTCCTGTATTTAGTGCTCTGATACCATGTTTCAATGGTTCAGGTAAGTCCTGTCAGAGAGAGATAGAGAGATAGAGAGAGAGAGAGAGAGAGAAGAAGAAGAAGAAGAAGAAGAAGAAGAAGGAGAAGAAGAAGAAGTTGTCAAACTAGTCCTAGTCGACCATAATCTTTATTATATTAGAATTAGGGTACAAGGTCAAATATACCCCTATTAAGTATGGGACAAGTAAATTAAAAAAAAAGGACAAAACAGAATTGCCACATCATCACATAATTTAAAATAGAACGAAAAGACTAAGCCACCCTTACTCAACCAACTCTAACATGCTCGATTAGTAGTGAGACCAAATCATTAAGGAAACCATTCCTAACACAATCAAAGCACATTTGCTAATTGGGCATCACAGAGCAGCAACAACAAGAATAACTTAGCCTAAGTCAAAAAAATCAAGTAAGGCTTAGGGATGGCAATGCACGGGTTCAAGAAGGGTTTTGTAAATTCTAAACCCTATCCTCCTCCTTAAACTTCCCAACCCATACTGGCCCCAAAATTCATAGCAAGGCTGGATTTTGAGAATCCAAACCCTCTCTATGCATGAAAATGCAAAACCCACCTTGACCCTACCATCCCTATAGTCAAGGGTAAGGTAGGTTGGGTTTAAAAAACACATCTATTTTTTTGTTATTTCTTGTTATATATAACTATTAAATAAGTAAAATAACATGAACAAACATAAAAAACTTCAATTATTTGATTAAGACATGTACGATACATACAAACTATCATTTATCCTTCACACAAATATTATTAAATTTAACACCTAATACATAAAGTTCATATGCTTTCTAACAATATACAGGGTGGGGAGGGTTGGGTTTAGCTTAATACCTTACCCATATAGGTTGTAGAATCCCCAAACCCGTCCCACCCTAAAATCTGTCTTTTAAGCACAAAAAAAAAAAACTATCGGGGTAGGTACCCACACTATAGGGTGAAATTGCCTTCCCTAAGCTGAATAGATGGTAGAGCCTAAAACCATGTTTGGTTCGTGGGAATAGAGGTCTAGAATCAGAATTGGAATGGACTGTTCTGATTCAAATTGTTTGGTTGGGCGGAATTGGAATCCCATTTCCATTCCTATTGAAATGGCATTCCCCCATATGAGGGAATGGTCATTCCCATCGGCTCCCTTAGGAATGAAATCCCATTCTTACAGATTCTAAGGATTTCAAACCTTCTTTGCAAGCCCCTAACCCTATAACTCAAATAGTTTTTTGGAATCCTCCCTCCCTAGGTTGGATCAAGCTTAATGTTGATGGGAGTATTTTTTGGCTTCTAGTGCTGCTAGTTTTGGAGTGGTAGCTCAGGACTTCACTTGAAAAGTTATTGCAACTTCTTTTGGTGATCTTAAAGCCCACTCGCTCATCCAAGTGGAGGCTTTTTCTATGCTGAAAGGTTTGGACTTGGCTTGGGACCTCCAACATTCTAGCATTTTTGTACAAAGCAACTACCTCAATTTGGTCTCTGCTTTAGGTGCTGGTAATGCAGAAGTAGCTAGAGATGATATCTTTTCCCAGCCTGTGCATTTCAAATTTGTAAATTCAGGGCTGCCCATGAGTTGGCAAAAAAGGGATTGCAAGTTCAGGTCCTTTGTTTTCAATTGTCCTCTTTGGATCCAGCAATGGGCGGCTAAGGATCTGGTGAATCCTTGAGTTTGCCTCTTGTATAGTTTTCTTAGGTCTTAGACTCTTAGCCTTTTTAATATAGATGATGCTTTTACCAAAAGAAAATTCCATTCCTATTCCTGTCTAAACCAAACAAATTATGGGAATGGATCATTCTAATTCCAATTCTCACTCCAAGTGATTTCATTTTCAATTCCAACTGCAAACCAAATGAACACTAAACCTTATGTCTATGATTCTTTTGTGAGTTACATGGAACTTGGAAGAGAGAGAGGAAGAAGCAAAGAAATCATCAAGGAGAAAGAGCTCAAATTTTTGACTTGTTCTCAAATCTCTATCAACATCCTTTTTTTCTACGTTTTGACTGGAAATCCATTTTTTTGTTCATTAATTTATTTAAGGGTAAAATACAAAAACCTCCCCTGAAGTTTCTGACAATCATAAAAACTTTTCCCTATAGTTTCATTTTAACAAATACCTCCCTGAACTTTTGAGAAACTCGACAAAAACCTCCCTTCCGTCACCTTCCTAGACGGAAAACGTTAAACTGATGCACCCACTTTTTCCAAAATCCCATTCTACCATTTTATAAATTATTTTACATACAAAATTACTAAAATAACCCTATTTTAATTTGACAAAAACCTCATTTAATGATCATCTTTTAACTTTTTTTTGAGTTAAAACTGGGTTATATAAGTAATTTTGTATGTAAAATAATTTATAAAAGGGTAGAATGGGTATTTGGAAAAAAACTAGTGCATCAATCTAATGTTTCCTGTTTGGGAAGGTGACAGAAAGGAGGTTTTCGTTGAGTTTCTCAAAAGTTTAGGGGAGGTATTTGTTAAAATGAAACTATAGGGGAAGTTTTTATGATTGTCAGAAACCTTAGAGGAGGTTTTTGTATTTTACCCTTTATTTAATTGAAGTCTTCATATGTTATTGTCTAGGGGTGAACATTATTCGGTTAAAACTGAATTACCCAATTGAAAATTTCGGTGTCG